TTGTTTCAAATTTGCCAGGGTAGTAGCGAAGCGCCTCTTGCTCCTCTCCTTCGGCTCCTCAGTCACGCAGTGCTGGCCTGGCTCTCAACGAAAACGCCAAAGGCGGTGCTGTATGTCCCTTGCTGGCAGGTGTATTCTCAAGATGGCGAAACGTAATGGAACCCCACAGACGACTTACCCGCACAATGTACAAACAAATCCGAAATTCTCCTTTTACGAGAATAAGTCAGATTATTGGTGGAGGTAATAGTACACCAGTGATGACATATTTATGAATGCAGACATCAAATTTTGCCAATAAACAACTGAAAATGTTACACAATGTCCCTTTAAGTGTTGATAAAATGGAGTTTGAGTGTTTTGATGAGACACAAAGAATGATGGACAAAGTTAAAAACCAATTGCCTGTGTTTTTTTGAGCTAATAAGATGAAATATAAGACTGGATAGCTGGTGGTGCCAGTTTGGTTTGCGTTCTTGCACTCATCCTATTCTCGGTGTAAATAATAGAATTATCGTGGAGACACTACCAAGATCTTGCTGGCTCTTTTTTTGGAAATGAGGTGCTTCCTCCTCAGCAACAGAATCGGCTTACAATGTCAGGATGGTTGATGACTTCAGCTTCTCCTTAGATCATAAATCAATAGTTAACTCTGTTTTCTCTCCTCACCACTTTTATAATGGCTCCTCTCCTGGTTTTGCATAGCCATAAAAGTAATCCCAAGATTCATTTTTCCATCGAAACAGCAAGTAGGGTGGACCTGCGCCCTACACTTGCGCTGCCACTGGGATACCGGCGATATAATGTGTATCCCGCCTCTTAGGTGCGACGTGACTTCCTGTACATTTGTGCACTATACTCTACTCGCAATAGGCAGCATGATGGTGCAGTGGCTGGCATTGTCACCACACAGCAAGGGAGCCCTTCTGTGTAGAGTTTGCATGTTCTCCCTGTGTTAGTGCGGGTTTTCTTGAGCTTTCCTTCCACAATCCAAAGACATGCAGATTAGGCAAATTGGGGACTCCAACTTGTCCTTAGGTGTGAATGTAAGCGTGGTTGTCTGTATGTGTTAGCCCTGCGATAGTCTGGCGACCTCTCCAGGGTGTACCCAGCCTCTTGCTAAATGTCAGCTGGGATAGGTTCCAGCCCCCCTGCGACCCCCAACAAGATAAGCGGTTACCAGTGAAGAAAACAGTCGCCAAAGGACGAAACAGTGCCTTACAGTACCAAGTTTTCCAAGCCTACCTCAACTACCCTGAGACAACAGAGACGATCCATTCTTGTAATGTCTCCAACCAGCTTGTTGAAAGATAGCTGCGCCCTGCAGTTGAAAATATGAAATACAATCTAGTATTCTAGAAAATATAGAGGGATATGAAGTTCAATTGCCTGAGGTAAAAATGAAACGAACCACAGTCATATTATTCAGTGTGTCATCTCCTCTTCAAGGGTCCAGTGAGTAGGATACAGAAATGGAATAAAATATTCATAAATTAGTTTTCATTAGTGCACCAGATGCTAAGAATTGTGTTTTTGTTGCCTTAGAACAGGCTGTTCATATCTACATATATTCCACAGACTTTGCCATGTGTTTCTACAGTAGACTAGAACAGACAAGTCAAATACTGGCTCTGGATAGGGCCATTCACATTTTCCATAGGCTGTATACTAAAGATCAGCAACATGACACCTCCCCCATAGTGAAGCTAAAACATCTTAATTGGCCCCTGGTGGCTGGCTGCATGAAAGATCACAAACCCTGCCCCCTTCATGTCAGCAGATGGCACACGGGCCAAACTAAAAGATCAAAGTACATAGCAAAAAAAATCAAATTAAATTTTCCCAAAGATGGTTTCTGTCATTTTAGGTTGTTATCACGCTGAAATGTGAGGTTATTTGCTATAAAAAAAGGGGTGTGATGTCATGACTGACAGCTGTGTGTGCTAATTGGTGTGTTCACAATCAAAGGGGCTTCTCTATACCAGCTCACAATTGGTCAAACAACAGGCACATGATTCCACAAGGATTGCTACTGCACAGACGCTGACTCCAAATGACCAAATCCAGAATATTTTGGCTTCATTTTTGTACAGCGGGAGGAAGTTGAGATGCATTGTGCATCTTTATATACAGTCATTGGCGTTTTCTCATTGGCTATTGTAGTTCTCCTACATGCTTGGCACATGGGAGATGTTCCAGTTAGTTGCAATAAATCCAACACATTCTCCCTCCCATCTCGCTATAACGAAGCTTGGTCAGTGGCCTGTCACATCAATATATAACACACTAGGTGCCCCTCCTCCATCAGTTTTGAAACGTTCAGTGATGGCGTGTCACTTTACTCATTACATGCATTAAAATAAGTACGCTTGTATAACGTCATGTGACACATCACTAGCATACTATGTTGTTACTAAAACTTGATTGATTTTTGGTTTTCATGGGACATAAACAGCAGGATCCCAGGTGAACGTCAGAAGTTTGTTTGACCTATCCACCTCCCCTTCCACCAACCCAATGCGGATTTTCTTGCTCTTTATACTATGGTCGTTGCCCGGAACGTCAACAAATGCCGCCGCCTGGAGCATCTCATACCACCGCTAAAGGTTGCCTCTTTGTATCAATGTTTGACGCTGACAGGTTACTGACTGAGCGTTAGTATTTCATGAATCAGGAGTAAGACTAAGTTACTAAATCGTACACACTAGACCTTTAAATCTTACTGAAATTACAGTAATATCTATTTTGAGTTTGGCCTTCTCATAACCAATTAAAATGTATTACAAAGCAAGAAGAAACTCAAAATATGTCATGGTTATCAGTCAAAATATGATAGTTCAAGCACTATTAAAAACAGAGTGTGCTGTATTTTGTGTTGCTGTCCCAGGCTCCACACCAGCAAGTCTGGTATGTGGGCCTGCAGACGAAAGTATTTCATATCACTCTATCACTTCTATTCTGTCACATTGGCTCACTCAGTTTATCCACTGTTGGCAATAAAGCATTCTTTACTACTGGGAACTGTCTGCAAACTAGCAAATGATTTTTCCATTATCTTTGTGCTGCTGCTCACAATATAAATAATGTACTGTATATCTGCAGGCACCAGTTACAACTCTGAGCCTGATTGGATACCAGCACTCTCATTCTTAAAGGGTGACTGTATTGGTGAAAAACAAGTCAAAGCTGGATGTAAATGAAGCATTTTTTAAACTCTTCCCCTCCAGCCCAAGCCACAGAATGCCATCACCATTGGTGTTTCTGCACGAGTCCTTTTCAACATGGAGAAGGAGCAGCATATCTACGAGCAGCAAGGCCTGGAAGAATACATCAAGTATCAGGTGGAGCATGAAACGCAGCCTTTCAGCCCCGGACCTGCCTTCTCCTTTGTCAAGGTCAGAGAAACAATTGCACACACACTAAATCAAACCCAATGCAGAGTGACGCTTTTGCATCAGTGATCGGTCGTGACTCTGGAGGCGGTGAATGAGTAAAAAGCATGAAACACCAACCCACTCAAACACACACACACACACACACACACACTTCCATCCCCATTGCAAAGATATAATATTGCTTTTTTCTTACTGAGATCAGTGTTTTGTTGTGTTGCCAGGCTTTGGAGGCTGTCAACACTCGGCTGAGGGAGCTTTACCCCGAGAGCGAGGAGCTCTTTGATGTTGTGCTCATGACAAACAACCACGCGTACGTCGGCCTGAGACTCATCAATACCATCAATCATCACCGTGAGTTACTAATACACATGAACAATGAAAATGTACAAGGCATACCTGTGAAATATTCCTTTGTCTGGTGTATATCCTTAACTAGCATCACTGATTTTATCTTTTAGGTTTGCTCTTTAGAGCAACAATGTGTAGAATTTTTATGTGGTTATACATCTTTCAAACTAGTTGGTGGTGTTGTTACACCTCTGTAAGGGGAGACGGAAAAAAATGAAGCAGAGACTATAGCCCCATTTCCACCAAACACTTTTCGGTAAGGTACCGTTGGAACCAATAGTAACCCTTCAGACATGGTACCTAGACCCTAGGTCCGCTGAGCGTTTCCACTGCAAACAGTACCCTTACATGTGGGTGGGGTTGTTGTCACTCACTGCTCCGTCCAGCACTCTCTGTATTTCCTCATCACTGGTGACACAGAGGGAAGTCTGCACCTCATTATGGTCAGCAGAGCGAGGTTGCACGCCGACATTTTCAGGACGAAATAAGACAGGCTGCAGTGAGAGTGTCTCTCAATATCGACAATACTGTTTCAATCCAAATAGACAAATGGACATCAGACTTGAATATACACCAATCAGACAGTAACCATAACCAGCAAACCATATGTAACAATACATTCTCAATATCACCCAACTCAAAAATTCAGCTAATTAAATACAAGGTTCTTCACAGAGTTATCACCACCCACAAAATGCACCTAATGGGCTTCACTGATAACAACACCTGCACACACTATCCCTCTGCATAGACAACCACTTCCATGCATTCTGGCTCTGCACACCTGTTGAACGGTTTTTGTTGGAGGTTATGGGAGAGCGGTACAAGATCCCCGACCGCAGCATTCCCCTCTCCCTCTCCATCACTCTTCTAGGTGATCCCGCCTCACTCACAATCCCACAACATCTAAAGACTTTCATAATAGCGATAACTTTGGCCAAAAAAACACATTACTCAACTGGAAAGACGCATCGAAATTATCAGTAAACCAACGGCTTAATCTGTTGACAGAAAAGCTCACAGCAAACCAAAAAGACAACCTGACCCCATTCCATAACACCTGCTCTCCGTTTCTGCAGTTCATTCAGGCTAATTCCTCTTTATACTGTTTCACTCACTCACTTCATCCTCCCAATACCAATATGACAGCTTACGTTTGTTCTGTGTTGTTTGTGTCATAATGTCTCTCTTCTTTGTTTTGTAAATGCTTTTGTTATGTAAATATGTTTGTTATGCACAGGTGGTAAAAAAAAGGGTTTATAAAAAGAAAACAAAAAGAGAGTCTCTCAATGCAGGTTTGTGCATTTAGTCTCACTCAGGTAAGAGCAGGTGTTTACTGTTAATGTTATACACAGGAACGTTCTCCATGATCCCTTTTCTTTTCTCCAAGTGAGGATTAGAATAGTTCACATTTGTTCGTAATTAATACAAATATTTTAAGTGCTTGAAGATCCAGATTGTTGTATTGAAATTTAAGGTGTGCTGATGGATTCAAGCCATCAACTCATGCATTGAGTAACATTCCAAGTAAATGTTCCATCATAAAAGTTGCCTGCAGTCAGCCCAGTGAACTGAGTTTTTTTTTCTAAGAATACAGCTGCTGTGAGAGGCAGCAAAATGTTCTTTATTTTTATAGGTATAGTTTACTATTGTAAAACTTGCCACAGTATGAACAGTGGTTACATGAGCTTCAAAACCAGCAACAACTCAGCCTTGAGCAGAGTGACCATCCGCTATTGACCAATCAACAGACAGCAGTGTTCACAGCTCCACCTTTTAGTACTAGATCTGTGTGCTAGGTACCCCAACAGAGGGGGGACCAAAAATGGGGACGGTACAAAACAGTTCCATTGATTCCATCCATTTTTGTAAGCTTAAACCATTTCCCTCAGTGGATATAAAGCTTTTATTTGCTTTTATTTCACAGATAAAAAACACTAAATTGTAAAGACAGTAATGCCTCCACAAAAATTGCATTTTAAGTCTTGTGTGTGATTTATCCTGGTTTCATATGAGCAGAGGAAATCTCTGCTCATTGCTAGGCTAATTTATACAATGTAAAATGCCATAGGCGTGTGCTAATAATGATAGCATGTTGAATTTGTTTGGAAACATGTTTAGTATGACAGTTGTTTGGTCGGTGAACCTTGTGAGTTGTAATGGAGCCAAATTATGTACCGTTACCTTTGTTAAATGTTGCTGTCGTCCCTGGATTTATATGAGAAGAGAAGATCGCCAGCTGCTAGGCTAATTCATACAATGTAAGATTCCATAGGCTTGTGCTAATAACGTTAGCATGTTGCATTTGTGGGGAAAATGTGTCCAGAGAAGGACAAGTGTTTATCTGTGAATGCAGCGAGTTACAGTGAAGCTGATTTGTGTACTTGTGTTTGAAAATGTCTCTATTAAGTCATGTTTAATGTGTGTTTTGAATCAATGCCTCTTTACTCCACTTCATAGAAACCCCACCACCGACTAGTGTTTTGGAGGTGTAACTGGAGAGTGACACAGACACACCACCGCACAAGTATAAATGCTCACAATGGCGTAGGCCACGTGCATAGGCTACGGCATAGGGTCTATCACACCAGTATAAATCATTGCTTCAGCTAACTAAATTAACTTGCTTAAATTACTTTTGACACAGATATTTAACCACCAGTGCGTTCCTTGTAATGCAGAAAATATGTGTACACAGTTAGTAAACATATTATAACCACTGTTCTTACCTGAAAGGCAAGGTAAAGAGAAATGAAGCAGACATGATGTTGCTGGCTTCAAGTTCGAAGTATAATGATGCAACACACTCCCCCTCCCCTACAGGAAAAACCCAGAAGTGCTGTGCAATGAAAACATCTCTATACTGAAACAATGGATTACAGAGATGAAGTGATAATTCAGCTTAGAGAGACAAACATTGAAAATTGTTCTTCAACACGTCTTTTAACACGTTAAAGGAATCAAATTAATGTGCATTTTCAAAATGTTTTTTTTTCTTTTACAATTAGTGCACATTTTTATATCCATGACCTAATATTTTGTTTGTAGAAAATGTGACAGCTCAAGTGAAATTTTGTGTAGTTCCATATTGCTTTTCTCTTATTAGTTGCAAATGTGTAATTTTTGATAGCACCACTTGGGGGTGCCAAAGTTGAACATTTTTACACCACACAGGTGGCGCTTACAGAGTCGGTGGCAGAACAGATCTAATGGGGGCATAGGGTAACCTGCAGCAGCACAAACAGCCATTCAAAAACTCAATATATGATGTCAGTTCTTCTTTATATGAGTTTGCCATGAACAACCAACACACCAAACCTGCTCCAATTACAAAACATTCTGCAAAGTCGCTCTTTTTAATACACACTCCCACACAGTGTACTGCGCACCCAAACTTGCTAACTGATCGCGCTCTCTCTTGACATCAGACCAAATCAGTAGTCATAGGTCAGGCATTGGACCAATGAGCATACATCCCCAGATGTGATGCCTATGTAACCAACAAATGTGTGTTTTTTTTTGTTTTTGTTTTTTTTTCATTTTTCTTTTCATTTACCAAAGATGATTTCATGGTCAATATGATAAATTTAAAGTAATTATTAAAATACAAAGTTTGGCACCAAGGCTCACCCTGCTTGTGGATCAGTGGAGGGGGGGCACAATGACAAATCTGTAACGCCGACCCCGGGCTCTGTACTGTATTTCCACTGCATGGTGCAACACGGCTTGACTCGTCAGTTAGCTCATTTTTGGTTTTCTTATAGCAAAAGTTGTAAATGGTACTTGGGACTATTTTGGTACCACCTTAGTCGAGGTTCTAGGTGAGCTGAGCTAATACTAGTAACTGACTTTAAACACTGCAGACCACTGATCCAACACATTCTCACCCCGACCTTGTCACATATCGACATTTGGTCATGGACCTTCCACATCCAGATTTGACGTGGAAGGTATCCTGGGTGTGTTGGTTGTGACATTCTGGGACGCTGTGTGAAGTTATGCCTGTTACATGCATTGTCTTCTTTCAAAATACACTTCCGTTTTACCAGGAAATTTATTGTTTACATACTGTCTTTTTCAAATTAATGCACTACATCAGTACAACAATGCGAGATGACGTTTTTATTTCCTCCAACAACTAACGCACGTGGTTGGGTTTGGGCAACAAAAACACATGGTTAGGTTTAGGGAAAAAGAACAGGGTTTGGCTTTATAATCTTACGGGACACAAGCACCGTTCTCCTGGGAGAAGGTTGGTGTTTATTGGACTCAGATTTTTTAAAAATGGCAGTCTGCAAAACTACGCCATACACTACACTGTAGAACTGACAAAGTGTGGACATTATTTCAGATGACATTGCTATGTGCAAAACTGATACCAGTCTCATGCCTGTACAGTAGCCTAAATATGAAGCCATCATACAGTTAACTTTGTGCAAAGGCTGGAAACATGGAGCCAGCCTGGCTCTGTCCACAGGTCAAAAAGTGGAGTCAAAAAATTACATGCTACAATTATGTGGCAGACTATTTCTTGACATGTTAATTAGTGAGTTTTAGACAAGCTGTGAAGTGGAAACCTTAAATTTGGAACATTTTACCACAGACATCCATTAATAAAGCCATTGATCACAACTTATACACCTTTACAAAGTTAGCATGGAAGTTAGCATTGGAAATTGATTCCCAAAGATACAAGTACATGCATATCAATTACTAATAAGGAATTTGGATTAAGTAGCAAGTTGTGTCTGATGAAAAGAACTTGTACTTCTGGTCAGCCTTTACTTTGATTAATTACAGAATAAAATAAATAAATAAAAATGATAAGATAAATAAATACATTTTCTGGGAAGGAAGTTGGAAAGTCCAGTCAGTTTAATTCTGAAGTGTCAGTTAATAATCAGTACAGTTTCAAGTCTGTGCTGCTGAGATGGTTTCTTAAAGGCCAGCGGGGTTGCCCTTTTTATCCTTTTTGAGATTGTTAACTGTAAACTGAACTAGATAAGCATACTGTATTTGTAGATGCAACACCGCTAGTCAATATATAATATACTTTGGCAGTTTGCAGGTATTTTAGGTCAAGTTCATCATCATCATCCACCAAAATAACCTCTTCATAAAAAGCTTTGGTTTTCATTGGGTGATCTCCTCAAATAGCACAAGACCTAGCACAAGTCAATATACTGACACACTAACACACTGAGGGTGGGCTTGACACTAGCAATGTGCTGCTGCCCTGTGTATTCTTTAGCTGCTCTGCACAGCCGGTCATCTCTATTCCTACACTGTGATTGACCTCATGACCCAGTGTCCCTCTCCAGGTCACACAGACATGCAAGTATTCACATGAAGTCCACTCAAGACATCATAGAATTCTCAGCTGACTCAGCGAGATGAAGATAAAAAAGGAAGTGGCTAATGATCTATACGAATCTCTTGCCCTTTCTTGCTTCACTGTTCGGCTGAAGCTATTTTGTTTTTCCCTTTGTGAAGTGTTGACAGACTCCCACTCAGTTTATGTTTTATGGTGGGATCTTTCTCATGGTCCACACCATAGTATGACCCCTGGGGATATGTGGTGGGAGTTGGGGATCTGAAGTCCTGACCGCTTGCAGGGGTTTGGCAGTCCAACACCCAGCGACCACTGAATTAGTCAAACCATGGGGAAAAATCTCAGGCTTTTTCCCTTCACTTCCCTGATTCACTGATCTGTCGATGTCTCCTCTCTGCAGATTTGTTCATCGAGCGCTTCTGTATGACAGGGGGAAACAGTCCCATAGGCTACCTGAAGGCCTACCACACGAACCTGTACCTGTCCGCTGATCCAGTCAAGGTTCGAGAAGCTCTGGAAGAAGGTACATATTCCTGACAAGCTGTTATACTACACTAAGGGCTACGTAAGACGTATTTTACCACACCTGCTTCTCAACAACACATTCAGGTATAGCAGCAGCCACCATGTTCACCCCAGAGAAGATGACAGAAGTGTCAGAGACTCAGCTGCGTGTCGCCTTTGATGGTGACGCTGTCCTTTTCTCTGATGAGTCGGAGCGCATCTACAAGGCCCATGGACTGGACAAGTTCTTTGAGCATGAGAAGGCACATGAGAACAAGCCCCTGGACCATGTATAGTATACACATAGTAGTATTTAGAATTTTAAGTATTTGCACTTTCTCCTGCAAACAAATGTAGCTAATCTGGAGGTTTGATTTAAATATTTTCCTGCCTCATTCATTTTTTTTTTTGTGATTCCACCCAATTTCCAGATCTCAGACACTAACTTAGCTATTGCAGTGTTATTATAAGATAGAAATGGTGGCCAATACTATCAAAGTAAGACCCAAATTACAATAAAGTAGCTGGTGAACACAGCACAGTTTGTTATGAGCTTTAACCTTTGGCCCAGATTCTAACAATGTCGTAGATTTTCATGAGTAATGAGCCACATACAAATATAGAAACTACCGAATGGAGACAGTAGTCTCAATGTAATCCTTCTTCTCTCTGCAGGGGCCACTGAAAGGTTTCCTGGAGGCTTTAGGAAAGCTGCAGAAGAAGTTTTATGGCAAAGGCCAGCGCATGGACTGCCCCATCCGGACCTACTTGGTGACAGCTCGCAGCGCAGCCAGCTCTGGTACCAGAGCCTTAAAAACTCTGCGCTCATGGGGTCTGGAGATCGACGAGGCTCTCTTTCTGGCAGGGGCACCCAAGGGCCCCATGCTTGAGAAGATCAGGCCGCATATTTTCTTTGACGACCAGATGTTTCACGTGGAGGGGGCAGCAGAAATGGGGACAGTAGCATGTCACGTGCCCTATGGAATAGCTCAAAGAGTTATCAAGACAGGATTTAATGACAAAGAGACTTCTTCAGCACCCAAGTAGCCTGAACATCACTGACGATGCAGCTGACGATGTTATAACTGTGTTTAAAACTATGACAGAAAATGTCCCACAAATGGGTTTCGAATGTAATAAAACCCAGCTGATGCAATATGACTAGTATATTATATAATAGTGTGATTATAAAGCAATGTTATGTTATTAAAACATTAATCAAATGATTTCTTTCATTAACAATTAGTTTACAAAGAGGTATAACTCTCTAACGAGGGCTCTAATTAACCCTTTATAAACTGTTCATAAGTTGTAGCAAATGCTTTATTAATCATTAATAAACCATTTACAGCTTTATAGATCAGTTATAAGCCATTCAGAACAATGTTTGGGTAGGAAATATCTTTGACTGATTGGACCGAGGAAAAGGGCTGCAGAGGATTTAGACCAAACCCCAAATCTGTTCTTAGAAATGGCTTTAAATGTTCTGTAAATCATTAATAAATCATTCTTGAACCATTAATAAAGCCTTAAGTCACAATTTATAAACCCTTTATAAAGATCGCCTTACTAAAAAGCGGCACTCAATGCCGCTTGTGTTTAAGACTTTCATTAGCAGTAGGCCGAAGACATTTATACGGGAGCCCTGAGAGGCAAGTCAGAAAAAAACATTCGGGTGATCCATTTTTAAATGTGATCTAAACTGTTTTATCTCCTGTGTTCTCATTCAAGAGCAGGTGAAAGAAACATTTTTCCAGGACGATCTTCATAAGTTTCTTAAATTTTTTTTCCATGTGTGAAACAGGTTGGGAAAAAATGTTTGCCAGAATCAGTTTCCCAAGTTGGGTTTTGTTCATCTGGAAAACAGATGAAAAGATACGTTTTGGCATGTGATTTTTTTTTTTTTTTGTTCAGGATCATCAAGATCAGTGTTTGTTGTTGTAATACTCATTTCAGCCACAGGAGGCTGAAATGCATGACGACCCCACGTTCTAAATAAGACTGAAAGCATTGATGGGTGATTCTCATGAACATGATACTACTCCAAACAAAAATTACAGATCACTGTATACACATATTGTTTTTCCTATCCAATTTCACTCTTCAATTTAAGCCATGATAACTCAGCTAAAAGACTTATATACAGTAGATTAAACAAATTAATAACTTTTAGAGAACATGATATATTACATATTACGGTAATGTTCAACTATGGTGTGGAAATAGGGATGCATAAGGATAAACTTCACAGTTAACAACATTGAAATATGACAAATAATCTTACCTTGCAGCCATCTTTTGTCTCCTCTTCTTTGTGGTGCATCATGGCTAAAAAACAAAAACAAACAAAAACAAAAAACAAAACACAGGCCATGAACAGTTACGAAATCAGCATGTTGGGACACTTAATGATCCGAATATTTTTTATACATTGTTGGAAACCATCATATCTGGTTATAGTCTTTTAAATCATACAGTTTTAAACAAGTTTAAATTTATTTTAATAAATTTGCTTGAATATTTATTGTGCTAAATTGAGGGGAAATCATGAAATTTTATTCAGGATGCATTACGGTAGTGAATGTGTGACTCAAAAATCAGTTAAAAAACATATAAAATACTACCTTGGTACCAAACAATAACCTCTGCCACATAACAGACATGGTATACTTTCAGATAAAAGTTAATTATTTCACTGTCTAAGTTTCTACCTGTTTTTTTTGTTGTTGTTTGTTTGTTTTGTTTTGATGTTTTTCTCCTGCCTCTCAGGGCCTTTGTAATACCAGCAATCTTTTCAATTTATATATTTCACATTCACATCCAAAAACATGGTATAACCCCACAGACGACATAAAATACAATAAAAATAAAGTATATTTAAAATAAAGCAGAACTAAATGTCAGAAATATAAAACAAATTTTAGGCAATATTTCTTTAGACGCCAGGTTACTAAGGAAACATCACTATTTTTTTATAAAGAAGGAATTTAAACGCAGCCTGATCAGAAAGTACATGGCTGCACTGAAGAAATGCAATCAGTCACTTTATGCAGAAACTCTATTTGAATTGATACAGTTTTATCACTTTACTGTTTGTGTGTATGTGTTTAAGGGTTTTTAAAACCGGTGCCTTTTTTTCCACTATTGTTGGATTTTTTTGTCGGTCTTGCATGTTGTTGATATATATGTATGTTGTGGATGTTTGATCGGTGTATGTAAATGTGTTTAAAGTTTGCAAATTGGTGGAATTGGAAGATTTTACTTTATATTTATAGTATTTATTCGTGTTCAAGACAATAATGATAAGTTTGAACACATGCATATATTGACATTCATCATGTGCAGTTGTGATTTCTGCTACTCATCCCTGAAGTGCCGGAAGTTCAGTGTCTCCCTTGTTGTTGCCTGCCTGTCTTATCCTGTCCTTTAGGTGTGTTGTTATTATTATTATTGGCACTGTTGCTGTACTGTTCTGTGTATGAGTGTGAAGCATGATAGTACTGGATGAGACCAAACTAGCTCACATGTGGAATCTGGGTAAATCTGGGCCAAATGAGTACTGTGGACTGTTACGCAATCATGTTTTTCTGTTTCAATAAAACAGACTGTATGAAGAAAAACATTCTTTCCTGTCTTTATTATTATTCATTGTTTTACAGCGTTGAAAAAAAGAGTTTCAACGTCTCACTCTCGATCAAGAATTAGAATAAAAAGACCAGGATGAGAGTTGATGGTGGCCACAATGATCTTTCCTGTTCACAGCACACGTGTCCAAACTCTAAGTGAACTTTGAGTCATTTTAAGGTATGTGTTGACCACAATAACTTCACCTGCCTAAACCTAACCTATGAAACTTTATGTTAAGGACGTAATGGGGCGCTAATTCGTTATTGTTTAAGTTTCAGTTTCTTAGAAATAAAAAAATCCTGGTGTTGATGATGAAAGAATGGAAAGAACGTGACGAATCTGACTTGCTCAAACATGCCAACAGGTTAAACACCTTCCTTTAAACTCAGATAAGTCTCCTCTCAGACACAGAACGCACACACTCCTTCTCAAAGCTGACATGGAAGAAGTTTGTGAGTATACATGTTTCTTTGGCCATACTGTTACTTTATATTAATTATGAATTATGGGCTCAGGGCAGATAACATGTTTCTTGTGTTTCATTAACAGGCAAAATCCTCACCATTATAGCTGCAGGTAAGACCAGTTGGACAACACATTTTAAACATGAAAACCTTTTAGTATCAAGTTGTACTCTAATGATTGAGAAAATGTTCTGCTATGTTCTTCCCCAGGAGGTGTCATAGCTGTGCTCCTGTGGCCTCTTCTGCGTCCTCTTTTGATCGCCATAGGTTTCAGCTCATCAGTTGCTGCTACAATCTCATGGTCATTTGGTAAACTGAACATTTTATTTGCATCTTTTTAAATTTATGACCTTCTGTCTCTAGTCAGTCAATACAAATATCTGTGAAATGTGCATTAAAAAACAAATAAGCATGTGTTGATGGTAGAGAGGAGCATGTTAGACTGTGGAATAAAAGCTTTACTTATGGACAGGCAAGTGCAACATGGAGCTGATGGTGTCTTGGGAATCCTAAAATGTAATGTAATGTAATCTCGCTGCAGGTATGGCTGTTCTGTTTGGGAATGGACGAGAACTGGAGGAGCTCTTAGCCATTTGTAACCAAACTGGAGCCTGCAACAAGTACTCTAAACCATACGAGCACATAAGTCATTTGTTCCTATCATCAAATATGACTTACAAGAGCATTTAATAAATTAGCACCCTTACCAGTGGCTAGAGATCAACAAGTCAACACACCTAAACATAACAGTTGCAGTTTTAAACATGTGGTGAACGTGGTTGGGTTTAGGAAAATATTGTGGTTAGGGTTAAATTCATGTAGTTATAAGTATGTTTGAACAGCAGTCTCCTGGGTGCAAGTCCTGTTTTTGTTTGACCCATCTAACCACCCTGACTTATCCACATGTGGACTCTCTCACTTGTACTATGTCACTTGACATCCTCCTTTGCTCCCATCCTGTATTAGGAAGGTTACTCTTGAAAAGTAATAGGTTGCAGATTACTAGTTACCCTGTTAAACATGTAATAAGTACTTTAACTATTTTAATTACGCCATCAAAGTAATGCATTGATTATTTTTTTAATAAATGCTTGCACTTGGGCGATACAGTTTAAAGGGGAACTAATGTTTTTTTCAACCCTATTTTCCGATCTACTTTTGTGTAAATGAGTGATAGGATGTTCAATATTTGGCATTTCTCCAGTACGAAGCTAGGGCTGACGTGCCTGCAGCCCGTGAGCGTGCACTATATTAAATAATAGGGCACTCAGACAGCGTCAAACAACATCAAAATACATCCAATAAAAGTGCTTTTTTTTAACAGAGATAGGCTTGGATTGTTAGTATAATTATCCGACAAAATTCAGCCATGACTACTCCAAACAGAGTAACTCCTAGCATTTGTAAGGTCACTCCAGCGGTTGACTTGCCACAACAAACATGTCCTAATTTTCACCCGATTTTGACCAACTGGATCTGGATGAGCCATTTGAACTTGATGACCACCCGTATTTATTTGAACACGGAGTACACGGACATACGCGGACGCAGAACTCACTGAAACTGAAGAGGGACGAGGAGAGAGAGGGAGCAGCAACAGGCAGAGGAACATGTCCGAATCCAGTTGGATAATTATACTAACAGTTCAAGCCTATCTGAGTGAAAAAAAGCACTTTTAGTGAATGTATTTTGACGTTGTTTGACGCTGTCTGAGTGCCCTATTATTTAATATAGCGTGCGCTCACGGGCTGCAGGCAGGTCAGCCCTAGCTTCGTACTGGAGGAATGTAAAATATTGAACATCCTATCACTCATTTAGACAAAAGTAGATCGGAAAATAGGGCCCAGGTTGAAAAAAACATTAGTTCCCCTTTAAGTTATAAAAACTTACGTGCGTAGGTGTTGCACTCAGTTTTGTTCCAATGGCTTCGCTGACCCGTTTTTCAAAAGAAGACATTCCTGCACAGCGAAAAGATGCAAAGCAACACAATGAATGTTTATTTTACATGTCAGCTTTTTACCAAGAACAATATATTTGAACGTGACCTCTCTGTAATGACCAACATTTGGATTAGTAACCATAATTTAATTACTTATCATTTTCTCAGTAATTGTAACATACTACAATTACATGTATGTTGTAATTTAAATATGTCTCTGTGTTACTCTGCAACACTGCTCCCATCATCAGCTGTTACAGCCATTAGAGCAGTGGTTCCCAAATGGGGGGTCGCAGTCTAAAAGTGGGTCGCGGGTCCATTCTGTATGGACCGCAATTTTGTAAAAAACAAAACAAAACAAAAAAATCCCACACTTTATTTTTAAGTACAGTGAATTTCGGCACAGAGTTTTGCCACATCATGCTGAAGAGTGAATGAATAATGGACAGCGACTTGACAGAGACAGCAAACTAGCTTGACTAGTATGACGCTGAATGTACTGAACTTAAACTAATGACCAAGGAAATCTGGACCCCGTGGCTGGACCAGTTGGGAACCAATGCACTAGAGGTTGCTGCAACAAGAAACGTGAACGAGGGTTATAATAAACCACTGTACACACTAAATATGCTAGGACAGTCTTCGAACCAGCTAGAGAATGACAACATAGATTTTCTAACAAACTGAGTCTTTTCCTAATGACGACAACTTCAAATCATGTTTTCTGTGATAATTTGATAACCTAAACAGAGCAGTTTTTATGTGTTTGCCATGCACTGAGCTTAAAGCATCATTGAAGAAGCAAATACAGTGCCGCTACAAGGTCGTGAAAAGTGTAAAAATGCCCATATTCATCTTGTATTTCAATGAGTCAAAAGCTTGTTTTATAATGTGGAAGATGCATGCTGGTGTTACTGATGTTCATTAGCTCTGATGAATCTTTATTTTGAAACCATTTACTAAATCTGGAGGCATTTAAGATGATGCACATATGCTCTTTAATGCTAGTTTTATCTGATTATAAAGCAATTTTTAGTCAGTTAATTCATCTGATGTAGCAATTTTATTTTATCTTTTATTTATCTATTATTATGTTTAATTTTTATTTCTTATTTTTTCTCTTTAATCTTATTCTATTTAAGGTCCTTTGATTTTGTCTTGTGCTGCTGTGATACTTGAATTTCCCCCCTGGGGGATCAATAAAGTATATCTTATCTTATCTTATCTTATCTTATCTTATCTTATCTTATCTTATTAATTCTGAACCAAATCTATTGTCATCACCGTTGTTGTTGTTGTAAACATAGTTGTTGCCATTTAAATGAAGCAATTTCAAACATTTCCATAAAGTTAATTTAACAAAACACAGTGGTGCTTTAACCCTTTGGGCCCTAGGCATTTTTGGGGTATTTTTACTGCCTTTACTTTTAAGCTCATATCACAGTCATTATAAAGGCTACATACACATGCTATATCTTGTTTTTTTTCAGGACAATCTGGGCTAACCAGATTTGCCATCATGCCATGTCCTTCTATGTGCCTGTATTTTATATTAATTTTTATATCAATGAAAAAAACAAATCCGTGTGACTAAATTCTTACATTTTTACAAGGGAGACTCTCTGGAATCTGGCAATATAAGAACCATGATGGTGGGACATTCTGTCACTTCACAGCTGTCCAAAACATGTGGTTTGTGCCAGGCCGACATGATTGCCAGTATTTTTTCATTATTGTAAGAAATTCCATTGACTCATTCACAAGTCAAAAATGTGTTTTATCTGAAAGAAACATGCAAAATTTACATCTGAGATCATAGAAAAATAGTCAACCAAGTGCAATGATGTCCTCCAAGATAATATTTGTTTTTCAGTTTCAGTTATATACTGGGGGAACATTTTGGGCATTGGTGGGGGGGGGGCACGTGTCCCCCTCAATGTATATGGTGACTACTGCCCTGTCAGCATGCATAATTAGGCTACAGTTGTCTGGGTGCGCAAAGGTGAAGTGCGCTGGTCTTGTCATACAAAGTTTGGTGGAGTGTCAACTGGACAATATGGAGATATTTGCATTTTGAAAGCTGGACTACAAATGTGGATAGACAGGGAGAAACACACGCAAGCCTAAGACGTGCTAAGATACGATATTCCTCACTATATGAAGTGACTGATAACAAGATCTATATCATGGATTGTAAAGAAATTCGTCCGGTTTTTATTTTGTAGACAATCAATCTGTATTTATAGCATGATGGAATGACAGGACAATGATGTGTGTGGTATCCCTGGAAAGCTCTGCTCCTGCACTTTCATGTGATATGCATGGCATTTCTGTGCGAGCCTGCGTTCGCGAGTAATCCATCCAACAGTAATGTGTGTGCAAAGCTGTATGAAAGCTCTGTTATACATCATTTTAGTGTAAATTTATCATTTTTTTCGCTGTGAAAACATTGGACTACCGACAAGTGCTTGGCCTTCTCGGAAAGCTACAGTTCCGCTGTTTCACGTGATATGCGGTCGCGGAGAAAATCCACAGAGAAGAACGGGTGTGAATTTGGAAGCACTATGCGTCGTTCGGGCCCATAGGGTTA